AGAGAGAGAGAGAGAGAGAGAGAGAGAGAGAGAGAGAGAGAGAGAGAGAGAGAGAGAATTAACTTATAGAAATTCAAAACTAACCGTGCTGAAAGTCCAACTGCGATAAGCCGGGTCATAGTTGGGCACACAGCGCAAAACAAACAGCTGTAAAAAACCATGCTTCTTTAGGGACCACTTATCGCCGTCACACAAACAATTCAATTGTATAAAATTGTGAAATATTTGCGACAATAGCGATACATGACTATTTAAAAACCAGCACCGGGTGCCTAAATTATCATGCACCTCGGTCACAAACGCTAAGGCATCGGGCGCTATCTGGCCCGCACTTAGCACAGCCGTTGCCGATAACAGTTGTCCCAATTTCAAGCCCTCTAACTCGTTCAGTTGGTTCCGGTAGTCCTGCACCGGACGGTCCACTGACAACACTAACTCCTGGCCATAGATTACTACCGGGTGTTCACTACTACTACTACCCGGTGTCCCAATGTCTATGAGATCGCTGATGGTGTCGATGAACGACTCGAGGTCTGTGTGTTGGCTATCGGTGTCCAACTCTATGCCCGAAAACGGGTCCGAAATGTCGGTAAAATTTATGTAACTTTGATTATTTGAGTGGTTTGCGTTGACCACCGGTACGGGTGTACAGAGTGTACCGTTATTACAGGGTTGTTGTTCAATACTGTTTGTTGAAAAATCTAGTATAGAGACCAAAATGTTGTCAGTGTGATTGTGATGAGCATGGTCATTTGTATTTATAGCGATTTCAGTGCCAGTCTTCAGGCAATAATCCAAACGCGCCGATATGTTGATGTAATCCTGTTATATATTTAAAGCATGTATGTTGAGTAAGTACAATATAGGGTTTAACATGGTTAATTAAACTAGTTAATTCTTAATTGTTAACCTTATTAACATAAAATTTAATAAATGTCGTTAGCTCAAAAAAAATAGTTATAACATTCACGCTGTAAAATATATTCCGAAAAACAAGGTATATTTTAATGGGACACTCTGTAAAAATGTAATAAATTAATTGCAAACCATTTTCATTCCCATTTCAAAACACTTTTTTAGTCGACATTTTCGGCACCGCTTTCGGGATTTTATGTCTATTTTACAATTGCCGTCCGAACGGCATCGAAATTTCTGTGCATGGTCAATTAATAAAATTAATTATAATAATTAATTTACATTATTAAATTTAATACTACATCAGTTCTGATGGCATTCCTCCTGAAGAACTCCTTACACGAGGGACAGGTAATGGCCTCGAAATTGAACCCTGGTTAATAAATAATAATTATTGTTTTTAAGAATATAAATTTTATGTATTGAAAACTACACATTTTATCATATTTCATGCAGCTAATATTAAATTCTTACATTTTTATATATTCTAAAGCATTTAATTATGTTTATAAAATTATTGTGAAGTTTGTTTTGAGAGCTATACAAACATTGTAAATGTATTTACATTAATCCATTATTATATAGATGTATATTTGTTTAAATTATTAAATTAAAGTTTTGTTATACAATTACATATGGTAAAGAATATTCTGATTACACATGTATATCATGTAATGTAATGTGTACAATGTACATGTGTAATGTATGAAGTAGCTAATTAATAAACTCTACAGTACATAATGTGATAGTAGATCTAGTGCTAAATAATTCCCGAGTAAAAGTAATTTACTAAAAGTAACAAATGTCCTTTATTTGTATTAAGTTATAAATTTATACTGTAATAAAATTGTAAGAATGATCATAAACCCATTAACTTATGTATCTCTTGTACATTTAAAGATCTAACCTTCATAAGTGTATTTCAAGTATTTTACCATATGCTTATACATCTATAAAATAAATCTAACTTTTAAGTTTATTTTTAAAACCTTATGACACTTATAATTTATAAGTTACAAAACAAAGTTTCAGTGTATAAATATAATTAACTTATGGTAATTGTTATAAAAAATTGTCCATAATTTAAAATAATAAGCATATCATAAACATTTAAAAATTAGATTAAATGTTGATAATTAATGTTAATGTTATAATTAAAATTAAGATTTACATGAAATCACAATTATTACAAATAATAATAAACATGATAATTTAAATAGACTATTTTACTAACGTAAATTATAATTTCATAAAAATGGTTTTACCTCGAGCTTTATCGCCGCATACAACACATGATTCTTTGGTTCCTCCGTTGAACAACATTTATAATTATTATAAAATTAACAAGTTACAATCAAAATAGTTTATTTAATTGTATAAATAACAAAAACGGTAAGTTAAGTTTGAAATAAATAATAAAACTTGGACGTGTAAATTGCATTAGCAACACTATAGCCATTTATAAACATAAATGATCATAATCATATTGCTGTGGCAACAAAATAGTTTGTTATTGAAATATGTATTCATGTCTATAATACTGTATATAACTTTATATAAAACACCTTGTTGTAGGAATTAGTTATTAAATAACCAGATGCTCATGGACAAACAATTTTTATGCACCTTAAAAATTACAATAAATTTATTACACAAGCAATTAACTTATTTTAAAAATACAATTTCATACTATTGTATTTTCCGGAATAATGAATTTTTAACATGAACAAACTTTTATAGTTTATTAATCTGTCAAATACAACATACACAAAACAATTAATTATTGTGTAAAATACAATATACAATGTATTTTATTGTAAACGGAAATTGCATTGAATAAACACAATGTGTTTTGCTTAAAGAATTTAACTAGATGACTAAAATCTAACTGATTTAAATAAATCTTGGAAAATATTTTATAAAATGTACTTTGACATGTTCAATTTGATCTTAAGTTATATTGTAAATAATTAATTATAATTAATTAATTAAATAATTATTTGTTAGTTATAAAAATATACATTAATAATAATAATAATTTTTATTTAGCATAAGCAATGAAATACATAACGTGTTGTTTTCATAATAAAATATCATTTAAATGTTTTACAAATTTCTTATAACATTGTTCATTACGTAAATAAATTGGGAGATTATTAAAAAGTTTTGTACAATAATTGAAAAAATATTTATCAATTAAATTAATTCTACGAATATTTGTTACAATTAATACTCCATTATATACTATCATACTTTATAAAGTGCATAGTTTTAATTAATTACAAAACGAACATGTAAACATGTTAATTAATTTTCTATGATGTACATTACGTTCAAAACGTTTATTAAATTGTTATATTATTAAATTGTGACGTTGGTTAGGCTAAGGATAACTAATGCACCTAACAAGGTAATTGTTAGCGTGTTGATAATATGTGTTACCATAGTGATAATGTACGATATTATATCTAATAGATATAATAATATCTATGAAGTGATACTTGTATTATATCTAACTTATTTTTATGTGGTAATTATCTAATTTTAGTTTTTTGTACATGTTTAAGCAAAAAATGAAACAAAAACATTAAAGTAAAATTTTAATTAACTATAATGTTTGTATTTAAATTATAATAAATTTAGCTAGTATTTATTAAATATAAATGTCACAAAAATGAGCATAGCAACTAATTTAATATGTGTTGTATGCGGTGACCGGGCATATGGTGTGTATAAATAATTAATTAATAATTATTATTACTTTTGTTTATTTTCTAAAAGTTAATTATCCCAACAACTTACCATAAATGTTTAAATTAATTAATAATTTCACCAGGTACTAATTTTGATGTCATTACCTGTCCTTCCTGTAAGGTATTCTTTAGGAGGAATGCCATCAAAGATCAGGTATTTATAAACAAACAATTTAATTAAAACTACTTGTAATTAATAATAATAATTAATTAATAATTATTAATTATATTTATTAATTAAAACTTGTAATTCATAGGGATTTAAGTGTTATTTTGATAAACAATGTCAAGTAAATGTTGCATCAAGGAAGTTTTGCGTTAGATGTCGTCTCGACAAGTGCTACGAGATGGGAATGAAAAAAGTATCATTATAAATAATACTTAAATGATTAAAATAACCTCGATTAATTATTTAATTAAAGGATTATATATTAATTTTGGACGAACTAAATAAAGAGTGCAAAAGTCAGACCAAAAACAAGCCTAAGACAACACCCGTCAAAACTAAGACAAATAGTGTAGACCACATGTCACCAACTCATTCCATAAACGCTAAAATAAATGCAGGAGCATCAATATATAAAAGCAACACAAGTAGCGCTACCAGTAGTATTAATGGTAATAACAGTAACAGTAATAGTGAGACCACATTCCCGCTGGAAATTCCGGAAACATTCCCTGAATTTGAGGAAAGCCTATCCAACTTTACGTATCTACACTTTGAGTACAGACAGCACTTGGAAAGACAGTTCTCAATCATACCGGTGCTGACAGTTGAGCGCCCGATAGGTGGTGGCGACTATTCTTCCCATTTGAACGACACCGAGTGTCATAAGTTGCGTACGCTGGTCACCCTATTTTCGGAGCCCATAAACCCGGCTATCCTGACGCCCACTGGTGTACTCTACTGTGAAATGTACGCCACTATTGGGCACAATCTGGAGCTCTTGATGGTAGACGTGATCAGGAAATGCAATCGCCTAGATGATTTTGCTAACATTTGCGAAAGTGACCGGTACAACTTGATTAAATACGGTTGCGTTGAGTTGTCATATATGCGAAATATCTCCAGGTTAGATTATAACCAGGATAGCTGGACACATACAACTGTAAGTGCAATATTTGTTAATATTGAAAATAATAAACAATAGTAAAGATTGTTTAATTATATAAATAACCATGGTTAGTTTAAAGGTCGTCCATTTATTAAGACAAACGGTTTGGATCTCGAAGAGTCAACTTTTTATTTATTTGAAAATATATTTTATACGCTCAATGATGTGCACCGAAATGATCCTGTTGTATTTGAACTTGTACGTATATTTATAAATAAATTACTGTTGGCATCGGCTTATAAAAATATTATAGCAAAAGACTTTTTGTGTGAAGTAGCAGTGTGTTCGATAATCATTTGTATGAATTAATTTAAAACCATCACCCCACAAAAATAATGTAAAAGTATCAACTGTGTAAACATATCAATTGTGTGAACTAAATACTTAAATTTTTTACTTCACACAAAGGGTCATATACTGTATTTTATATAATAGTAAAATTATTGTCTTTTAACATAGTTGATGGCAATAGTGTTATTTAGCGCTGATAAGTCTATTCTAAAGCACCGAGAAATAGTCAGGTAGATTATAAATTAATATTACTAAAATTTTGTAATGTTTAATTAAAATTAATCAGAGCATTAACTATTTTGACATAGATTGCAACAACACGTGTACATGTATTTATTGCAACGATATCTCCTATTGAGGAGTGGGTCCGAAATGGATGGCCGGACAAAGTTCGCCAGTTTAATGAAAACTGTGATAGATTTAAAGTATTTTGCCCAAAAGCACCGAGAACGTATTGAGACATTTACCAACCGTAACCTCGTGCCCAATGGACTATTGACCGAGCTCTTTGATTTGAAATGCAATGTTGACATTTGTTATTCAGATACTATTTAACTATTTGTACACCTGACTTAAATATTGCGGCAAGTTTATTTTTGGTTAATATAACATAAATTTACAAGTCATCTATATAATTAAATCTAATTAATTTGTAAAAATGTTATAAATAAATATAAAAATGTAAAATATTTTTTACGCTTGGTGTTTGCGATGTAGTTTTATAGACATATAGAGATATTTTTAATTAGTATTAAAACTAATAATTTTTAAGATTAATTGCATAAATATGGAATAAATTCAGTTAGATCTATTTTTGCATTAATATTAAAAATTATTGTTAAAGTTGAGTAATTAAATTTTAGAATAGATTGTTATATTACGTATATAACTTATATATTACATGTTGCAATTAAATTATATATTGCGATAATATTATTACGCAAATAAATAAGTTTCAATAGCAGTTTCAAAGTATTTTTACATTCTTAATTATTACATGTATTAATTATTATACATGTATGTACTGAACTAATTATTATGTATTGTAATTATTATTATGTATTGTGATTACAAGGTTTATAATAATGTAAATTACCATAACAAGGTCAAACATCTCAAAATCTATTAGGTCTAAAAATTCAAATTATATGTTAAAATGATGGTCTACTCCGAGAGTAAAAAGTCAGATTGACCACATCATGATCACAAAATGTTGTTAATATAAGGTTTATTAATGTACATCTTTATATTAATAACAAATAATAATTATAAATATTTTAATAAAAGTTCTAATTATTTTTAAAATTAAGTTTTAATAAGTAATGTACAGTTACTATAGTTACTACAGTGTAGTATATACTATAGTATAATTATTTAATGAATTTTTAGTGTACTTTAATGATAAATATTTATTTTCAAATTTAAACATAAAAATATATAATTATATTTCTAATTAGATAATATGAAATAACTATTGATTTAATAGCAAATAATAGCAAATACTTTACTAAATACATCGACTATGTAACATAGTGCATATGTTAGATATGTTTTATATAACTTAAATTAATTATATTAGTTAAATATATTTTGTAAATAATCAATGTAAGTTTATAAAAAATTATACTTTAATTATATCAACTTTAGAGCAACCGTTTGGATGCTTTTTTCATAGTTTTGAACACTATAATAATATGACTATTTGTTCATTTTATAGCATTAGTTAAATACTGTAATTCATGGTTTTTATTTAGTCTGCATATTAAATGATTCATTTTTCGGTAGCTCTAATCAACTTATGTAATAATTTCTAAATGTAAAACCATATATTAATAACAATTATTACTATGGAAAACTATCTATATGAAATTGGTTTATGTTATACTTCAAATCAAGATGTACCGGGTGATCGGAAGTTTATACATAAGCCTATTATGCATTATATGTTAAACATAATCATCTTGATTAAATTCTCGATAATTTTGGCATTTATTGATAATAAAAACGAACATTTATTAATTATTCTAGGTGATTTTAAATATATACTTGGTATGCAATTTCAAATAGATATGGCATGTATTATAACAGCTGCAGTGGGAATAGCGTTTCAAAGTGTATATTACTATAATTATTTGAACCAAGTAAAACCATCATTTTTAACAATATTTAATTATCTTCATGAATTAACTTTACTGGTCAATTATAACCCTGATGGAATAAGTATGCATAAATTAGCAAAACAATCTATTTGGCTATTTAACATGCTAAAATTTAACAATACGCGATTTATCCCAATTATTTACCTTGTTATGGGTATTTTACCGTATATCATTAATTATGATATTTTTACCACATTATTCTATGGATTACCAAATGCTACTATATTTAGCATGTTTGTTTATAATACATGGAATATACTAACCATTCAAATACTTTATTTTTATATTATGTGCAGATACTTTGTGCTAAAATTCAAAACTATTAACAAGTTTATATCGCGACGTAAAGTACACACAATTTATGTAATAAATAATTATTTGCATAAATTAAACAAGATTAATTGTGAGCTCAGTGAGTATAATGCCACATACTGGTCAAAGTTTTTGATTATTTTATGGTTTAGTCTTGGTTGCAATGATGTACTTATATTACATGCTGTACTTTTTGAAACAATGTCAATTTTGCAGCGTGCATTATTTATATATACCGTGGTCAGTGCAATCATCTTGTTTTTGTTTATTATATTTACCACTTCGGCGGTCACTCACGAGGCAAATAAATCATACCATATATTGATTAAGCTAATTTATAATGGAGTACACCATATTAACAATAATGCATAGTAATTGTTATCTTAATTACTTAATTAAGTTAAGTTAATGACTAAATCAAATTAATTGTTTAATTTTGCACTAGATGAAATTGTGTTTAACTGTGCACAGTTGCACACAATATACAAATTGTAAATTAGTGAACGTTATCTAAATGTTATTTATTTTGTACGCTTATATTTATTTTAATTATGATAAAAACATACATGCATTATGTATAGTACATAGTATACTGTATTTGGGTTCACATAAACTTTGTAATTATTTTTAAAATTAAGTAATATTTAATATAATAATTATCGTTAATTATATTTTAATAAGTAATGCATAATATAATTATTTAGTGCATTTTTAGTGTACCTTAATAATTAATATAAATATTCAAATTCAATCATAAAGATAAATATATTTATAATGTTTTTATATAATTATATTTCTAATTAGATAATATGAAATAACTAATAATTTAAAAGCAAATACTAAATACATAGTACATATTTTCAAATATGTTTCATATAACATTTTGTAATAATTTTAATATCTACTATTATTTCTTAAATATAATAACATAATACATAACTTTATATTAATAACAATTATTACAATGGAAAACTATCTATATGAAATTGGTTTATGTTTTACTTCAAATCAAGATGTACCGGGTGATCGGAAGTTTATACATAAGCCGATTGTGCATTTTATTTTAAACCTAACCAACTTGATCAAATTCTCGATAATATTGGCATTAATTGATAATCAAAACGAACATTTATTAATTATTCTAGGTGATTTTAAATATATACTGGATGTTCAATTTCAAATAGATATGGCTGCTATTATAGCGGCTGTTTTAGGAATATCATTTCAGAGTGTATATTACTACAATTATTTTAATAAAATTAAACCCACATTTCTTAGAATATTCAGCAACCTTCATCAATTAACTTTGCTGGTCAATTATAACCCTGATGGAATAAGTATGCATAAATTAGCAAAACAATCTATTTGGCTGTTTAGCATGCTAAAATTTAACAATACGCGATTTATCCCAATTATTTACTTTACAATGACTATTTTACCATATATAATTAAATATGATATAATAACCACATTATTCTATGGACTACCAAATGCTATATTGTTTAGTTTATTTGTTTATAATACATGGAACACATTAACCATTCAAATACTTTATTTTTATATTATGTGCAGATTCTTTGTGCTAAAATTCAAAACTATTAACAAGTTTATATCGCGACGTAAAGTACACACAACTTATGAAATAAATAATTATTTGCATAAATTGAACAAGATTAATTGTGAGCTCAGTGAGTATAATGCCAAACACTGGTCAAAGTTTATGATTATTTTATGGTTTATTCTTGGTTGCATTGATGTACTTATATTACACGCTGTACTTTTTGAAACAATGTCACTTTTGCAGCGTGCATTATTTATATATACTGTGGTCACTACAACCATTTTGTTTTTGTTTATTATATTTACCACGTCGGCGGTCACTCACGAGGCAAACAAATCATACTATGTTTTGATCAAGCTAATTTATAATGGAGTACACGTGTGAACAATATTAACAATAATGCATAGTAATTGTTATCTTAATCGATTTAGCTAATTTACTGACGTAATCATATTAATTAGTGGACCTTATATTGTATTTTATTAATTACCCAAATGTTAATTAATTTGTACACTTATATTTATTTTAATTGTGGTAAAAACATACACTATGTATACTGTATTTGTATCCACATAAACATTGTAATTAAATTTTAAAAAAACTTCATTAAAACAATATTAAAGTTTTATATAATAGTTTTAGTGTATTAAATACAATAAATATTAATACGACTAAAAACTTTAATGACATAATTTTATTACATTTTAAGTATATGTAATATACAGTATATAAATAAATACCTATTTATAAAATAATGTTAAATAAACAGTATTTTTGCAATGCAAATTTTTATTATTTGTTTGCAATATTATGTTGTAGATTATTTGCATGTTATAATGCAATATTATAAATATAACTAATGCTTTTATTATAATTGCATGTAATAATAATATTATTACCATATTATGGTGCGCTTTTAATAATAATAATAACGTAAGGCTCTCTCTCTCTCTCTCTCTCTCTCTCTCTC